TATCATCCTTCATTTTGATTAAAACAAATCCATTTTTTAAAAAAATCTTAGGTTTTTTAAGCAGCAGAAATAATTTCCAAATTGCCTCCAGAGACAATGATTTTTATCCTCTGCGGCAACTGGTCAGAACCTTCTTGATCACTCAGGTAGATACAGGGAAGAATGGCGCTTCCTAAAGCTTCAGCTTCCTACAGCTTCGGTGGCCTCAGCTCAGCTCTGTGCCCCAAGGCCAAACAAACCAGCTCATCTCCAGCCCCATTCACCCTATTCTTGCTGAGTCACCAGTCTCATCATCTTCAGAGCCATGTCCCCTTGGTCAGAAGGAACCTAGAAAAAAACAACATCTGAGTTAGTGCTCCTGGTGCTATTCCTAGGACTGGGGTCAGAGGCAACATCCTGAAACCTTGCTCCCAAAAGGGAGCCAGCTCTGTGACAGCAACCTGTGCAGACACCTGGGCACATCCCTGAGAGAGGGTCCTTCCTGAAAATGACTCCTGCACTGGATGAAAGCTCTTCTGGGCCCTGACTGGGCTGGGTGGCAGGGACCTGGAGAAGTCAGTGTTTAAGGCAAGAACCTTCTACTCCATATGGGGCTGATCTGTTGATTTCTTGGTAAGGGTCATGCTCATGATACTGAGACCTAGCCTGTTCAAGGAAGAAGGAAGATTCCAAACATTTTAAAGGAGTCTGTCTAGAAGGGATCCCGGATTGAGAACAGACAAATGGCTGAGAAGGAAGCTCACAGGAGAGAGCCACAAATAATAAAAACAAACAGGGCCCTTTGGATGGGATCCGATTTTCACACTGGTATTCAACTTTCTTTTGTTTTCCCCCAGATTTTTAGAATAAGTCCTTTAAAATTTCCTTCCCACACAGCATCAAAAGGGGGAAGGGCAGAGGCCTCAGTTTCTCCCCTACACAGAGGGGGTTGGAGTATATGGTCTCCCTGTTCTGCAATTCCCTGGCCCCATGATTCTCTATGGCACACCCATCCTTGACTCTTCTGCCAAGAGTCCCCAGGAAGCACCGGCACGGTAGGGCATCCTAAAATGTCATTTAATTAATGAAAGGGGAAGTGGTTTGGGGACGACTTAACAACAGTCTCCAAGGGCTATTTTAAGCCTGTCCCCAACTGATCCGTTGTTCTATATGTGTCAAACCAAGAGGAAACGGGCCCGAACTCTAGGACATGAGAGTGTGGTTGGCTTGTTCCATGCCCTCCTACCAGCCTCGGCAGGGACTTCTCTCTAGTGCAGGTTGAGCATCCCTCACTGGAAAATCCAAAATGCTCCACAATTCCAGCCTTTTTGAGTGCCACCATGAGGCCACAAGTGGAATATTTCACACCTGCCCCATGGGGGGTTGCATTCAAAATGCAGGCGCACAACACACTCTTTATTTCTGCATCCCCAAGGGGGTTACAGTACAGTAACCTTTTAACCAAAACACAGCATTGTAGGTAGAGACTGAAAGCTGCTGTTGCTTGCTGTTGATGTTGTCTACCAGCTGACACAGGTATTCTGGTGATGCTACTGTGCTGCTCAGTTACTCTGAACACACAATTTTTCCACTATATTAATGGCATGTTGTATTGCTTACTGTGAAGTACTTATGCGTGACTATGTGCAAGAAAAAGATTGCTTATTGGCAGCATATACATTTGGAGTCAGAAATGATATGATGCCCAACAGCCACAGATTGGTTGAAGAGCCATGGGTGGCTGAAACAGCCACCCTTTGCTCTCTAATAACTCAATGCACACAAACGTAGATTCATGCACAAAAATATTTAAAACATTGTACAAAAGTACCTCCAGTCTATGTGTACAAGGTGTATATGAAACACAAATGAATTCCATTGCCTAGACTTGGGTCTGATCCCCAAGATATCTCATTATGGATATGCAAATATTCCAAAATCCAAAAAAATTAAAAATCGGAAACATTGCTGTTTCCAAACATCTCAGATAAGGGGTACTCAATCCGTAACACTGCTTTGCTCTAAGACTTCTTAATTTTTTTTTAAGTCAATATTGAAGGTACTCAGATCCTGAGAGCCATAAATAATGCCCTCTCCCTCTGTGCCCTGCTGCCTTGTTTGTTCTCCCTTTAGATTAAGTCTATTTGTTTGTTCATTTATTTATTTACTTTTTGAGACAGAGTCTCGCTCTGTCACCCCAGCTGGAGTGCAATGGCAGGATCTTGGCTCACTGCAACCTTCGCCTCCCAGGTTCAAGCGATTCTCCTGTCTCAGCCTCCTGAGTAGCTGGGATTACAGGTGCCCGCCATCATGCCCAGCTAATTCTTATATTTTTAGTAAAGATAAGGTTTCTCCATGTTAGCCAGGCTGGTCTCGAACTCCTGACCTCAGGTGATCCATCTGTCTTCACCTCCCAAAATGCTGGGATTACAGGTGTGAGCCACCACACCCAGCCTAGATTAAGTGTCTTTTAAGAGTGGGCTGCTTTCTCTGGCTTCTTAAAGGAAGCTGCTGTCTCTTCTCCTCACTACTCATTCATTTTCTCCAGTCTTTACATTCTGGCTTCTGAGTTTGCCACCTCACCAAAATATCTCACCAACACAGGTGCCAAGGATATCGGTGTAAGCACATCATCACTTACGTTCCAACCCTTCCCCTGAGTTCTCACTTGGCACTATGGGCCCCTCCCTGCTTTGCGGATGCCACGCATCCCTGGTCTCCCTTCTCACTTATCTGGCTGCTCCTTTCTCAGTCTCATTTGTAGGCTCTTCTTCTGCCTTCTGTTCCATAGGCAATTCAAACTTAGCTTGTGCAAACTGCCTCCATCCCAAACCACGATGCTGGAGCAGAAACCTGCAAGCCACCCTTCAGTATTTTTCCACCCCAAATGATTACCAAGTCCTGCCAATTTTCCCTTCTTTACACTTTACCAAATCCATCCACTTTCCTCCTTTCTGGATTTACCTGACAG